TATGACGCAAAATTACTTGGGCCCATATTTGTAATATTTTCAAAAATTAGGCCTTTATAAATAAATATTTTTAAGTCAGGCCCTCATTCATAATTATTTTCAAATTTGGGTCCCGATGTGTAAATTCTCTATAAATTTTACAATCATATATATATTTTTTATAGGCTTCTATTATCTTAGAAAACTTGTTTCTAGAATAAATCTTCTGATTTAGATGCCAAATATCTTGTGAAGTCTGCCTAAAAAAAAATTTAACCCCAAAAAAACTATCTTATTTATATCTACTTCTTAGTATTTTATATCTTTCAGATTTCATTGACAACAATCTACTTTAAATAGATTTGTTTTCAGAATAACTCTTCTGGTTTGGATGCCAAATATTCTAAAGAGTCTATTACAGAGAAGCAAAAACTTAACCTCAAGAAAAACTACCTATTTAATGCTTGCTCCTTGGTGTTTCATATCTTTTAGACTTTGTTGACAACAGTTTACTCAAGGTAGAACTAAGAATAGTATCATCTTGAACATTTTTATAACATTTTTCTGTAGTTTAGTTTTAATTGTTGTTGACCAAAGGATCATTAGAGAGAGTTTTTGAAATATATATATTTAACATCTAAAAAAATATATTTATACTATATATTTTTTAAACAAATTTATTAATTATTAAAACTAGAATATGCTTTGAATACTTTTTAATACTTGGATACTTGAATATTAAACAGTATCAAAAAAAAAACCTTAGATAATCAAAACATATATTACTGGTTATAGGTGTTAGAATCTGTATAATAAATTAGTTATTACTGTATATGTATTTGTCATCAACATTATGAAACATCTTGAATCAGTCTCAATATCATATATCATTGTGGCTATACCACAATACAACATAATATTTCTACTGATCCGTGATGTTTAATGATATCTATAATAAAACGTGAAATAACTATTACATATCATATCGAAAGTAGTAAATCAATATAGTTGTACCCCCGGGTTTTTTCAAGTAACAAGCCAATAGTGATGGTGAATAATACCCGGATCCTGTAGGCAGTGGCAAACGGTACATTTATATAGTACATAAACTACTGTATATAATGCAGTGGTGTTAGATTGTTAACGTTAATAATATTAAATGAACATTTAAGTTACACGAAATTCGTGAACATATCGCATTTACTAATTTCCACAAGTTTCTATTGGCTAGGATTATTCGCACCAATTTACATATCACTTTTTATTTAAAAAAATATGACACCTAAGTTAGGGTTTGGGGTTAGTGAACAACCTTATACTAAAATTTTGCAAAGAATTTTTTTGTTAGTGCCCAAAAGGTGATTTCTTAGACGAAATTTTGAAATAAATGTGACTTTTCGACCCGATCTTGCATTCTGATTGGCCAGAATCAGAAACTTGGGGAAATTAGTAAATGCATGAATATCCATAAAATCTAGATATTCATTCGATACTACTCGTGGATAATTAAAACCCGTGAATAATCATCAAAGGATCCCAGTTCTACTATAAAATGTATTCATTTATTAACATTCAAGAATATTAGATATAACGGAAGAAATTAAAGACGAAAGAAGACGACATTTCTACAGTTTATACTATTGCGTGCAGAATTTAATAGTGTTCCGTAGCGCGTACATGATCAATATTGAAAAATAAACTACTGGCAACAGGTTTAACCTGTTTCTCACAGATACCTGTACCAGAGCAGGTTTCTCAAACTATGGATTCGAATCACGGATCGGTTTATGCAACGAGTTTCATATTAAGGTCCCTTTATAAAATACCCGTTACAAATACCGAATCCGTTCGCTATTGATTAACAACTATCACCTGCTCTGTTGTAAATTAGACTCGCAGTAGACACCCAACGCGCCTTGCATGTATCTGCGAAAATAACACGTATTTGATTGGTTATCTATTCTTAGTATATGAACAGCCAATAAAATTTCAAGGTCCCATCGTGTTTATTCACGCAATTACGCGATTAGACATCTCGGTTTTGATGACTACAGAATTGTTGAGATTGCACGATCCCCGAATTGTTAGTCATTTGTCAGGAATTGATGAAAATGTTGACGAAATATCTACGTCAAAACCGCTAATTAATGCAAGTCCGTTCGTTCAAAATTCAATTTTGAGTCCAGATAAATCGTCAACTATTGGAGATGAACATTCTCACGAAAGTACTAATGATTTTACAAGGAATCAAGATCCTCTTGATGCATTGAAAAATAGTAAAGGCAACGATATCAACATAAAAGAACAAGGAATTCCAGCAGTATCTGTTAAGAAACAAGCGGTAAGCATATGTTCAAATTCATTTCACGTAGTTAAATTTTACAAATAGGATCACTTACAATTGTCATTGATTTTCTTAGGTAAAAACTGCTTTTGAGGAAGCTAGTAAGGCCGTCAGAAATGCTACTACTGCATATGAGGAACTAATGCAAGTACTCCCTCCAGGCATGAAATTTGATGTCGAATCGACTGATTATGTTAGTTCGAATTTATCTGTTTTAGAAGAGCTCCTTGGGGTAATTGAACTTGATGATGCTTCCCGTGTAATGAATTTTCAAAATTTTTCTTCCGCATCAACAAGTAACAAACCAATTGAATCGTGCAGCATTGATATGACTAAGGAGATAACTAGGAAGGATTCCAAAATTGATTCCGATAGTATTGATGTGAACAATAAGAACATTCAATTGGGTATGCAAGTGTTGATAGGTTACGATGATCATGTGTTTAGTGAATGTGATCCGAATGAACTAGGCAACATCATTTCAACGAAAAGTCAAAAGCATGAACAACTAAAAGAAGTAAAGGAAAAAATGAATGACGCTAATTATGTGCATCAAAATGATTCAAAAAGCTTGGATCCCATTGATAACAAATTTACAACAAAAATAGAGGTGTCAAAAAAGCCGTCTCGGACTGTACCAAAAACGTCAAAGAACCTTAAAGTTAAACGATACAACACAAGAAGTACAGATGGGACACGGAAATTAAGAGTTATGTTCGATGGTGTTCAAGCGGGTAATCAAAAATCCAAAAATGATATTAATTCAAAACAAAAGAAAAAGAGTAATCCACAGAAAATGCCGATCAATACCAAAGAAACATTAAAGAACACACGCTCTAAAACATCAATAAAGATGCCAACAATACCGAAGGGTTCTTTCGGTTACTTCTTTGAAGATTACTACGCTAAGGTCAAAGTTAGTCATCCTAATGAATCTCTTACGCAAGTTATGAAAGATGCCGGTG